AGATTCAAAATATTGTAACACGAAAATTATTGTTGCACTTCTGAGCATAACTTTCAAATTTAAAAAATCTATGAAAAAGAAAATTTGAGACAAATTTTTTTCTTAGATTAATAGACTCCCTTTTTAAAGCTGAATTGAATGGTAGTGGGTTTTTTAAAATCCAATGTGTGGATCACATAATATTTCAAAAAATTTAACTTTTGAGTATAGATGATCCGCACTGTATTGCTGAATTATCCGTTCAAACCGCGGATGATCCGTACAATCCGAATGATCCGTTCAATTTCACAGATGATCCGGATAATCCGTTTGAATCCGACGGATGTATTTTTTGAGCAATTAACGGATGACGGATTGATTTTTTGAGATAAATGACGGATGAACGGATGACGGATATCCGCGGATCGCATCTCTAACCCAGACCCATTTATTTTTGTTTTAAATGACAATTACCAACCTCATCAAAAAAGTCTTTTCCTGGGTTACTTGAATCATTTAAATTTTTTAATACTACTTTCCGCCTCCCAGAGTAACTAAATTCTTTTTTATTTTCATTGTAATCAAATATTCTTCCTCTTGTCCATGTAGCTTTATAAATTGAACTAAATCCACCTTCAGTTAATTTTGTTACTTTTTCAAATTGCTCAAAAGGTATCCATTCTAAAAGATAGTTTGGCAGAGATGATTTCATTTGACATTGTTGAATAAAGTTATCAACTATGTTATTTCCAGATGTCCAAGTGGCAAAAAGACTCTGTAATTGTAAACTAATACAACTTTCACAGAACCTATCAGAGTATTTTATCGAGTTACACTTGTTGCATTCTTTCGGTTTGCCCAATTTACTCCTTGCACTATTTAATTCAAACACATAAATAAATCTTTTTTTACAATATTTTTTTTCATTTTTAGAAAGCTCCTTATTTTTTTTTGACCAATGAAAAAAAATAATCTTTTCGATTCCTTCTTCCAGAATTAACCAAAGCATTATTATACATTTTATTATGAGTTTTAATCACGAGCCCTTCTCTTTCTTGTGTTCCTTGCAATAATAAACGATTATACGACATTATATAAAAATATTTTATAAAATTTTAAAAAATTGACATTAACCCGTTCATTTGTATTTTGTATTATTTTCTGCGAGTAACGTGTAACAACATAATATTAAAGAATTTGGTGAATTTCGATTCAGCGGATATTTTTGGACAACAGGGAAAATTTTCCAAAACTCGTTAAACCAATATATCCACTATATCGGGAAGGTTTTGTTAAGGTTTATTATGGAACCGTTCTTTTGAACCTTATTCGTAAAACCGAGATTTTTAATTAGTATTCGCTAAATCGAGATTCGCTGTGTAAATTTTTTTACTTGTATCAAGTGTTTTTATTACGTCAAATGTTTTTAATTACGGTGAGAAACTACCTTTAGACAAATACTTAGTTACGTTAACGACTAAAGTCAAAAGCTTCGTCGTGTATCATTAATTCAAACCATCACTATCAAAATCTTTTTTTATTATTTCTTGGTCACAAAGTAGATATTACTTTTCTGTAACTCATTAAATCTCATTTTGGTTTCAGTTTGAAGCAGACACCAAGCTACCACTGGGACAAGTAGACGTATTCGACGGTGACTGGAATTCACCAGAACTACAGGACAACAAAGGGAAAAAGATGGAAAACAAATGAGCATAGGAATAAGCATTCAGAAAAAATTGGAAGCAATTACACTTATTCTTCAAATCAGAAAGTGAGTATCAGATGATAAGAAATAATGTCCTTGTTGTTTCCGGTGATCCAATAAAGGTATCAGTCGAAAGAGTTGAGTGTAGTAATTAGCAAAAAATTCAAGATTGTCTGATTCACATGTGAATAACCCTGCAAAATATGTTTTTGATATATAAAGTTTGACATTTTAAGCCTTGTATCTTACAGTGTCCAAATTTTTCGCAATAATGATACAGATATATATATTTTAATATATAGATATAGATGTATATTGTATTGTTACAGTCAGAACTCGTTAAACGATGTACTTGTTTGGCTCAAAACATCGTTTTATCAAATATTCGTTTTATCAAGTAATCTTTGATAAAACGAAGTTAATATATTTTAAAAAAAATTTTAGTTATACATCTAAGTTTACATATTCATCTGTACTACGTTGATGCGATAGTGAACTTTTATATAATAAAATGCTACTTCTAACAGAACGAATACTATCTTCTAAACCTGAATATTTTCCTTTGCGTAAACGTTTATTATGTGAATTGGGATCTTCTGGATTAATAGCAAGATATTCTGACT